AAGTACTATTTTACAACAACGCCAGAGCACAAAAAGTAGTGCATTGATGTGACAGATGAAACCACAAATGCCCCTAGTGCATTGCAGACTTCGGTCAACAGACCGAGTCCAACAATCCAAACTCACCGCAAAGAAAATGACATTCTAACGTGTATTTCAGCATTCATGATTGCTTGAATGGCCAAAGATGACCCTCGAAAGGCGGAGGACAGAGATAGATGAAGACCACCAAATATTAATATAAATAGGTCTTTTATTCATTATTTGTTGTGGTAAATGTATACTGAAAGACTTCAGAGCAACATGGACAGGGAGGAGGAGGAGGAGGAGGGGGAGGGGGAGGGTGAGTGAAGAAAAAAGTAAAAGAAGGAGAAGAAGGAGAAGGAGAGAGGAGGAAGAAGAAGAAGCAACCGCAACAACAGCGGCAACGACAGTGACAATGGCGATGGCGAAAACAGTGCCAGTGGCAGGAAGAAAATTAGGAGGTGAAGAAGAAGGCGCAGGAGGCGAAGGAGGAGGGAAAAGGAGATTGAACACATGTGGGTGCTCAGGAAGGAGTGCAGCAAGAACAGGTGCAAGAGGAGGAGAGATGGAGGGCAAAGAGAGGGAGAAATGCAGTTCAGAGCCCACTGTGGTAATAGTAATAATAATAGTAGTAGTAGTAATTAAGAATAGCAGTAATAGTAATAATAACAATAATCAACATTATAATCTCCTTCATCATAGTTATTAGGTGAAGGATTGGGGATTGGAAGAAGGGTTGGAGAGAGAACCCTTGGGAAGCGAGATGGACGAAGAGGAAGTGAAGATGCCCCCTAAACCTCGCATCAGACCACCACTCGACCGAGAATGCGTGCCAGACACGGTGCTTACTGACGTTGTCGTTGCTGTTGCCGTGCTCACAGACACCGTCGCCGTCACCGTCGTCGCCGTGGTGGTGGTAGTTGTTGTTCCTGTTGTTGGTGGTGGTGGTGCTGTTGTTGTTGCTACTGCTGTTGCTGTTGTCATCGTTGGCGTTCCTGTTGCCGATGCTGACACTGACATCGGTACCGACGCGTTCTCACCATGCATGTGGTAATGCAGTGAGGTGGAGGCGGCGGGAGGGAATTGACTCAGCTCCAACAGACTCTCACGAAGGTTTGGCACGTTGGGTTTCTGCTTCACGGCTAGTTGTGCCTTGTTCAGTAGCGTGCGAGCATTATTTTGACCTCCTGTGGACTCACCACCACCACCAACACCACCACCTCCTCCTCCTCCCCCACCATTGGAATCGGAGAGAAAGACCAACTGGAAGTAGCTTGCCAGTTGAGCCAATTCGCGACTCATGGAGTTGGCACTGGCACGCATCGCCTCCTCAATGTACAGACCTTCCAGTCGATTCAACTCCTCCGTGGAAAGCGGAGACTAAAACAACAAATACAAACACAACCACACACTACAACTTGCAGAATGTCAACCTTCAAATGCGATGAATCGCCAAGCATGCACCTTTTACCCTCCCCCTCCCCAACACAATGTCTCAAACCGGTGAGTGGATGTGTGTCGTATGAAAGTCCAAGTAGAAATTCAACAGCCCACCAATCAACACATCTCCCCACCCTCCTTACATCACAACTGAACGAAAAGGAGGACACTCCGCCACTGTTTTATTCAACCCACACCCGACTACTCCATCCATGCGACTATAAATAGCATGCACTAGGCTGACAGATGGGAAGTCAAACAGAACGCTGCTTGTTGTCATGCCAATTGTCATTGACCATACCGCCTTGTCACCTCTAGGGTGGCACACATCTTCCATATCGCAACAACCCTCACCATCTCAAATACCCCCCCCCTCCATCCTCCTCGTCCTCTTCCACCTCCACCACCTCCATCTACTCCACATTTGTGACGGAGATGTCCAACTACTACTACCACCACTACTACTACCCTCACTGACACACCATAGTAGTCTTGCCGTTGAACCGCTTCTGTCGCGAGGTGATAGAGACTCTCATTCACTTCAGTCATTTCGCAGTGGCTCTTGGCAACGTCTCCACTCCAGCCAA